AAGCCTCCGATAATGACTCAAACACGTCACCTTCAAAACCACGCATCATCTCATCCACCCCTTCATCCTCGACCTCATCCACATGATCATCCTTAAATCCATCCTCAGCACCATTATCAACAATATGTTCATCATTATTCTTGTACTCCTCGTCCACACAAATGTCATTGCTTCTATCATCATGCACATCATTCCCAATAACATCCCCACTGTACTCTCCTTCTTCACCGTGCCAAATCCACACATGGTATTTAATCCTAAACTCACGACAAACTACATGATCTCTAATGATATCAACACTATTGACCACCTTCACATTATTACAATCAACACAAGGACAATAAAGTCAATCGACACCCATTCTGCGCTGATAAGATGAAGCCCTCTCGCAAAACTCTTGAACCCCATCAAAGAATTCCAATGTATCACGTCTACCATACATCCAGCCACGATCCTTCTCCATTAAGTAAATTGTCTCTAAACATGGCAACATATTACGAATAATGTATAATTGCTACATCTATTATATATATAAATCAAATTCAAACACACACCATGCATATAACATTCATATAGATGCAAAAATGCATATATGCTTCTGAAGGGTCCTTATCACTCCAACCTAACCCATCCTTGAACGTTTACTCTCACCAGTGAATGTATGTCGACTTTTCAATTTGAAGGAAAATCCGGCAGCATTTTCCCCCCAGTTCTCCAAGTACACGACGTAGGTAATTACTTACCCACATATGTACCCAGAGAACATGGTGATCGAGGAAATGGTAAGCCAAGATGTTCCTTAAAATCGAAAAAAGGACATACATTCACCACCTAAGTGAGAGTAAACGTTCAAGAACAGTCCCAACCGGGGACTATTCAAGACTTTCTCCTAATGAGAAAGCCTTGAACGGGTATCTAGGCATATGATGATACATGCAATCAATTAAAAAACAATGGATTAATCACACATCATGATAAAAGTTGCACTAAAGTTATATCATACACAATCTCCACAAAAGTGTGCAAACAAGAACTTATATATAGCACATAAAGTTATATCTATACCTGAGTACCAATAAAGTCTTAACACTCTCCACTAGAAGGTCAATGCCAAGGTCAATGCTTCGCCCAAAAATTCCTCTGAATCTTTTTCCTTATAGCCTATATAGAACACAAACAGAAAACCAGATTAAGGGAAAAGATAAGAATGATATTAGTGAACAAGAACAAGGACAGTTATAGTAAGATACCAGGATGCTTTCCGCCCAGTCTCCAAAGTGATGATCTTACCCTAGAAGCCCTTGACACCCATTTCTTAGCCTGAAATCCATATATAGTGAGAAGCAACTCATAATTAAAAAGCACCAAAAAGCAAATTAAATAGATTGAAAGTTGAAAGGAGCATTGATAGTAATTTTAAATAAAAAATGTTTTTGAACAAACATGTTGCAGCCTAGTGAAGTCTCAAGGGCAAGGAGGGGGGTAGCAAAGACCTAGGATTGAATCCTCTTTTAATCAGTGTCATTTGTGACTCCCTATACTCCTGTAGAATTGTAGAGCAAATATACAACATTGAACTCAATGAGCACCACTTTAGGATTCTTTCTCTTTATTCATATTCTTATAAGTAGGACTGTACAAAGTGCAAACTTATCAACCATTGCAATATATGTGCTTTCTTTTAGTATACAAACTGATTCAAAATACTTACCGCTTACATAATACCAAAGTTCGGAAATGATAACTAGTTAACTACACATAAAAAGCATTCCAAGCACCACAACACCCCTAGGTACGCTACTAAGCTAAACTAAAAAAACCACCAAACAGCAACAACAACTAATAAGGACTTACATTTGTGGAGGGGCAGCCTTGTGCGTTTAATGGAGGGGGAGCCTTGCGCGTTTAATGGAGTAATTAAGTAGCAATTGACAAAACCCTAGCAATTACAAGAAACTTACAATTATTAAACTAAAGATCAATTCCTCAAAAAACCCAACAATGGTTTTAATGCAATACATGGAGAAGCTAAGTGAATGGAGGAGAGGCGTTATTACTTACCTTAGGTTGAAGCTGCTTCAATGGAGGGAGGAGGATATGGCGAACTGAAGAGAAGAACGAAGCTCAGAAAGGAATGTTGCGTGCGTGCGGAGGTAGAAGCTTCAATGGAAGCTTTAATGGAGTAAGCGTATGGGAAGAGGGAATGCGCGCGTCCTGGGAATTTCATAATATGAAAGCAGAATTGAATTGAACGAAATAAAAGTATTGAAGAAGAAGAACGTTGAAAACCGGTTTTTTTTTTTAATTTGGCACCGGTTCAAACCGGTGCTAAGAACTAAGGTTGGCACCGGTTTTAGTGGAACCGGTGCTAACTCCTTTGATTTCATTATTTTTTTATTGTTTTTTTAGTTGGCACCGGTTTGAACCGGTGCTAATTAAAGAAGTTGGCACCGGTTTAGGTGAGAACCAGTGCCAACTATGAATTTCCCATTCCCGCCCATTAATGTTGGCACCGGTTTTCAAGAACCGGTGCTATAGGAGGGTGCCTATTTAGTTTTTTCTACTAGTGGAAGATTATGATAAGTTTGTATCTGCTGAAATTCCTCCTAGTACATCTTCTACTCTTCGAAAGATTCTTCTAGCATATATGATGCATGGTCCATGCGGGAACCTTAATCCTAAATGTGGTTATATGCGCAAGTTTTGGAACAAAGAGTGTTGTAGGTATAATTTTCCTAGACAATTCTCAGATTTCGCCATTTTGAATAAAGAAGGTTATCCTCTATACAAGAGGAAAAATACAGGAGAAAGTGTTAAAATTCGGAATGCTCAGCTTGATAATCGATGGGTAATACCATATAATCTATATTTATCTTTATTATTTGACTGCCATTTAAATGTTGAAGTATGGTCAACTGTTAATGTAATATTCCGAATTTTGGGAAAATATTTTAATAATTTCTTAAATTATTTAATTTGGAGCCAAAATGAATTTTAAATTTTGGCGCCAAATATAAGTATTTAATCATTTGAATAATTAATTATTTTTGGACATCTAAATTAATAATATTGGTTTAGTTATCTTTTATAGGTCAGTCTAGATTTTATTCAATGTTGTTATCTTAGAAATTTCAAGAGTTTTAAAGATAATACCTAATATACATTATGATTTACAACTAATTTTAGTTTTGATATTATCTAAAATGTTTATATATTTGTATAATAGCTTAATTTAAGTATCAAATTCAATTATTTTTTTTATTTAAATATGATTTTCGTTTTTTTATATTAAAAAAAAGAAAGAAAAAAAAAACCAGAGTTTTTTTTGGGTAAATAGAATTTTTATTACCAAAACAGATTGTACAACTTACAAAATGAGTTGCACACACAAGAACACCCAAAATACACAAGACCCAAAGGTCAAACCTCCCCTAAAAACACCGTTCAAGGATCTAGTTTAGCCACCTTCTAGGAAGGGTTCTAAACAGACCAAGAATAGACTGAGCCTAGCCCCCTGAACACCTTCTAGGAAGGGTATCAAGGACTAGGACCAGGAAAAAACCAAAACAACAAAACAATCAAAAGCTATAACAAAAATGAAGCACAGAGAACAGAGACTGAAAAACTGGCTTCAAGCTAGAGGGACACAGTAAGCTAACTGTCCTTAGAAATATATAGCTTTCTCCTATCTTACTCTCTACATCTACAAGCAACTTTGTAAACTAACTGCCTAAAGACAGCATCAGCAGGATCACAAGAGCCCTCAAACATAACCATGTTCCTTTGCAACCAAATACTGTAAACAGCTTCAGCTAGAAACATTAGATACAATCTGCTGGTGGAATCAGTCCTTCTACCCAGCTTCACAGCCCAATCTGTTTCCTGAGCAAACCCTTGAACCGGCTTTTGACAGTTGAGAAGCTTCAAGACCCTAGACCAGATCCTTCTAGAGTAATTGCATTCAAAAAACAGATGTTGAGCATTTTCATTCTCCTGCAAACACAAAAGACAAATAGGATCACACTGGTTGTTCCAAAGGAGAATTTTGTCCTTAGTTAGGAGTCTATTCCAGCAAGCAAGCCATAAGATAAACACACTCCTTGAGGAGGCACTGTTATGACAGATTACCCTCTTCCAAGGAACCTGAACCCCTTGTTGTCTAATGTGGTTGTAGACTTTCTTGATTTGGACTTTATTATTATTAAGCACTGTATTCCAGCCTCCAATACCATCAATCAGGCTTCTAGACTTCATGATTTTCCCTGAGAACCCAGGAACTTTTCTTAAGGATATTAGCAGTCTAGAAGTTTCCAGATTTAAAATAATAAGAATGCAGCCATTTAACCCACATAGAGTCCATCTTGTGAGTGATATCCCAAAGCACCTTGCAAATAGCAGAAGAATTCCAATCATGGAGATCAATAACATTCCAGCCACCACAAGACTTAGGAAGGCAAACAGTCTTCCAAGCAATTAGGGCTCTCTTTGTAAGATTAGTTGTTCCTGTCCATAAGAAAGCTCTAAACCAAATTTCAATCTCATTAACAATCTTTTTTGGCAAAATAAAAATTTGAGCCCAGTAAGTTTGAACTCCAAATAAAACGCTTTTGATCAATTGCAGCCTACCAGCATAAGAAAGGAACTTGACAGTCCAACTCTCTATTCTACTAGTTATCTTATTAACCAAAGGCTTAAAAAAAAAAAAAACAAAACAAAAAAACAAAAAAAAACAAAAAAAAACAGATTTTGACATGAAGCTTGCCAAAACCATGGTTTTAATTAAGAGTGATTTTATGATAAACATATTTTCTTAACCTCTAGCCTTCTTCATTACCTATTTTGCATCCTATCATCATTCTTCCAACCATATGTATATCTATCTAAATTTCTTCTCATCTTTTAACCCAACTAATAACCTAGACTCAATTTGATCCAAATACTTTAACAACCCCCAAAATTTATCATATTTTTCATACCTTCAACTCTATATTTTTCTACCCTCTAAACACTATAAATAGACCCTCAATCCTTCACAAATTCCTCACACCAAAAAATCAGAAAATCCTCTTCTCTACTCTCAATCTCACGCCCTCCTCTTCCTTTATTTCCTTCTTGTTTGCTCAAACAAACACCGCACCGCAACCGCACTACCGTTGTTGGCGCCCGAACAACCACAACTACTGCTACCTAACCGTTGCCACACCACCCAACTGCCGCCACACCACCCAACCGCTGTTGCCAGCCTACCGTGACCTACTGCCGTGAGCTACCCTTTCACCTTCTTTTTCCGCAAATATAAAGTAAAATGGAATGATGATTTCTAATCCTATGATTATTATTACCTATATTATTATAATGCTACTTTATTAAGAAAGCTAAAGCATTTTGATACTAACGTCACAGCTAGTAGCACTATTTGATACTAATAGCATAAATTGTGTTTAAAAAAGTAAATAAGATTTAATATCTAAGTAGTTCATGCACAAGTAGAGTATTATTTTGTGTTTATTTTGTTAACCTTTTATTAATTAAAGTTATTTTAATTGTGTAGGAGGAGTCCCTCAATCGTGGTCAAGTTTAGTGGTCGTACCATAATTGTTCTCGTGATCAAGGTACGTATAGGTGGCTAGGTCCTTGATACAATATTGAATGCGTGTTTGGTAAATGATATTTTATTGATTGTTTGAATAAATGTTGCGTATGAAAGATTTAAGTTAATGATTTTCGTAACGAGTTAAAATATAATTTTATGATTTAGAGGTTTTATCTTTAAAAGTGATTAATTTAAATAAAGTTGTTTAATTTATAAATCACTTGATTGAAATAATTTAAAATTTGCAGCTCATTATGAGCCTGAGTATTTAATAATTTATTGTCCCTCTACCCGGGACTGGTTAAGTAAGACCATGAGCTTTGTATGATCTGGTCTTTCCTCGAGTATAGTTTAACTTGCTTGGGGGGTGTGCACACTTAGGTGAGGAAAACTGGTTTTGGAAGTATATCTTAAAATTGGAAAGTTTATTGGTTTGGAAAGTTTCTATTGATGGGACATTACTACTTTTGAAAGGTTTAATTTTGGAAATTCTAAATTTGGAAAGTCTAATTTTGGAAAGTGACTTTTGGCAAGTTTAAATTGGAATAATTATTTTGAAAGCATGTTTGTCTAATAAAAGTATTTACATGCCTTGCACTTATATGTACTTAGCTTTTAGCTAATCCGTTTTCCTTTTTGTTTTGGTTCGTCCTATTTACCATTATTGGTAAGCAGTCTTGATTTGAGTTGTGGAGTTGTTCGTGCGCATGCTATAGTCGAGATTGGGTTCACCTAGTTAAGAGTTAATTTTTATTTATGAGTAGACAAGTTTTTGGAGTATTTTGAAGCAATTGGTGTGGTTACTTTTATTATTATTAATAAAATTAAGTTATTTTCCTCTGCGGTTTGAGTAATTTAATAAGCCTTACGCTTTCACGTAGCGATAATACACCCAAGTCTATCTCTACGGTATTTGTATATGTATAAATATAGAATTTACGTAAAGGGGGATTTGGGGTGTTACAATTAAGGCAATCTAATATTTATATAAATATGTTTATAAAGGGCATGATCGAATTCAATATAATATAGTGCCTCAAAAAGATAATCTGATTGATGAAATTGAGGAATATCAATCTAGGAGATGGGTTTTCCCCTGTGAAGCTGCGTGGCGAATTTTTGAATTTGACTTATTAGAAATGCATCCACCAGTCCTTCCATTGCCAGTGCATTTGCCAAATATGCAGACTAACTGAGGCCACATGAAATATTGCAAGCTGTAGTTTCTGATGACAAGTGAAGCAGGACTCCACTAACAGAATTCTTTGCAGCTAATGCTGCTGTACCAGGTATGTTCATATCAGTAGTGTTACACATAGTATCACATATTTACTATTGAAGTTATATATCAGCTGCTTTTTAAAACTACAGTAGTAATAGTCATATATACTTACCACTGCTCATTTTACAATTAATATTTTCAAAGGTGGACTTGGCTATTTGTATGGAGAATTTTGTGAACACTATCGCTAAGATGCATCTGCTAAAGAATGGTTACAATGACAGAGAAATATAATGGTAGTAGGCAGATTAGCTTTTGTTTATCAAGCTGAAGGAAAGCGATTTTTTCTTAGATTGCTTTTAATTTAATGTCAAAAGTCCTACATCCTTTGAAGACCTTCGGACTGTAAATGGACATGTATGTGCCACATTTGGGATTACTTGAAGAAGATGATATAGGTGATTTATGTATGTCTGAAGCTAAAGATAGTCAATTACCCATTGCTCTACGCCGCTTATTTGCAACCATCCTAATCTTTTGTCAACCTAAAGATCCTTATCAATTATGGTGCAAATATTTTACTGATTTATCTGAAGATTTTGCATATCAGCACCAAGGAAATGATGACAGAGTTAAGAAATTGACTATTAGATCTGTTGAGCAGTATCTTGAAGCTATGGGTAAATCACTACGTAATGTGGGATTGACAGAGTTATGTTCTGCTGAAGAAGATGAATTCCAGCGAACCAAAGATATCATTGATTCTTTAGATGCACCTATTCCTCAGTCTTGTATTGATTGTATAGATCATCTCAATGTTGTACAACTCAATGTTTTTTCATGCATTATGGAACATGTGCGATTAGGAAAATCAGCTGCTTTCTTCATAGATGGACCAGGTGGCACTGGCAAAACGTTTTTATACAATGCTTTGTATGCAGAAATCAGATTAATGAATAAGATTGTTTTTCCTACAGCTACTTCTGGTATTGCTGCAACTAACATTCCATCTGGAAGAACTGCTCATTCAAGATTTAAAATACCAATAGATATTGAAAATTCATTGGTCTGTGATGTTACAAAGCAAGGCAGTTTAGCAGCACTTTTACGAGAAACCATATTAATCTTATGGGATGAAGCTTCAATGGTTATCAAAAGCAACTTAGAGAATCTGGATTTGTTGCTGCAAGATTTATGTGGGAATCAGAAACTGTTTGGTGGAAAATTAGTTGTTCTTGGAGGTGATTTTCGTCAAGTGTTACCAGTAGTACCTCTTAAAAATCAAAAAGAAGTTGTACAAGCTAGCATAGTTACATCATATATATGGCCTCAGCTTTTAAAGTTCAAATTGACAGAAAATCAAAGAGCTAAGGAAGATCCTAAATTTTCTTCTTTCTTGCTTGCTCTTGGAAATGGTGAACTCCAGCAAACAGAAAACACATATGTTGATTTACCTAGGGATATTTCTAAGCCTTTTACACCAGATGAAGATCCTGTATTAGAAGTAACTAAAGTTGTTTTTCCATAATTCAGTAAAGGTAACTTTGATAGTGTAGATACCTGATTGTGTCTCCCCAAAAACCAAACCCAATGATGAATACCTTTTACGTCTTAGATTATCGAGTTAGGTGAAGAGTTGAAGAATCTCGTGAATTCTTTTTAGCCTTAACCATTTCTAACCCTTCCTTAAATGTTTTAATCCAAAATCAGTTATTTCGTGTCCTGAAATCCAAAATCATTCATTTCGTGTCTTTGAACATCATTCATTTCGTGTCCTCTTTATAAAAACGACCAAACTAGTTTATTTTGGTCCATAATCCTGGTCCAATTATTGTGTAGTTGGATGGGTTTGAAAAGAGCTTTCCAACGATATATTATAAGCTCAAATCTAACTTATAACGAAGAAGTTATGGTCAAAATACTAAACCGAGCCCAAACCAAACATTACCTACGACCCAATGACCATGTGGAGGGTCCATTAACCTAAACCTCGTTCCTAAACCATTTAGGATTTGTTACAAGTTTCTAGAATCTTCTAGACAGTTGTTTTCAATCCTAAATCCATTAGGATTTATTATTAGCTTCTAGAATCTTCTAGAAGGTTCTAATTTATCCTGTTTTCCTAAAGATAAAGACTAAAGAATTTTACATCGGATAAAACACTTGTTTTTCAATGATTTTAATTCTGATAAATTATAATATGTACGGATATTCGATTAACCCAATTTGATTGGAAGTCGGATTCCGTACGGATCCATCTTCTAAAAATATTGTTGAGCGATAGAAATATCGCATCGCGATAGAAATACCGCGTCGCGATAAGCCTATCGCGCTTCGATAGAAATACCGCGTCGCGATAAGCCTATCGCGCTTCGATAGAAATATCGCATCGCGATAGCGCCTGTTTTACTCCGAGTCGGATTTTGACTCTTTTCTGATCTTCGACCCTAGTTTTTTCTTATAAATAGAGGTCATTTTCCTCCATTTTCAATCATCAACAAGCTTGATCCCCAACAATTTCTAATCTTTCTTTATAAGCTAAAAGCTTCTTCTCTCTCTTTCTTAGCTTAGCCTAAACACATCCCAACACCTTCTTGATATCATACACCATACTTCCATCACGAGATTTGAATACTCCAAGCCAATCTCGTAGTTACCTTTGACCTCGACGTGAAAGGTTGATAGTTCTGAGGGTTTGGTCCCAAATATATATTTCAATTCTTATTTGATTTATTTGTTTGATTTAATCTTTCTTGAAGTTACTAAAGTGTGTATTGTTTTGATAGAAAGAGGTACGAGGCATCTAAGTGAGTAGATCTACTATCCTTATTCCTCGCTTTTGATATAGAAATCATGCTTAGAATATTATTTTAATTCCTAGTATCATGATAGGATGCTTTTATGATTTCTAGTATCATGATAGGATGCTTTTATGATTTCTAATATCATGTTGGGATGTTTATTTTGATTCCTAGTATCATGTTAGGGTATTAATTAATATTTCTAATATCATGTTGGTTTCTAGTATCATGTTTAGGCTAAAGCTTTGATCTTTATTATTTAGTGACATGCTAGGATTTGTTATTAATTAGTTTAGTATCATGCCTAGGATCTTGCTAATAATGTTTTGATGATATTATGATGATGATTGTTGCGTCAATAATTATATGTTGCTTGATTATTCATGATTTATTGCTATTGCTTGATTACGCCCTTTCTTGCAGGTTTAAAGGGAATTTGTACTTGAAATCACGCTTAATAAGATAATTAATAATTTGATTTTAGGTTAATATGATTTTAACCCAACCACGAACCCAACAAAACCACCAACTAATCACCTTAACCCTTCAACGAACCACCAAAACCCGATTAGATGAACCACCAAAATAATTAATTTAGATTAAGGTTATAATGTTGTGTAATTATGTGTAATATTATGCGCTAATAATTTTAAAATGAAGGTATTTTAGTCATTTTGACAGAAAAAAGTTACTAAAATAGGAAAGAAATAAGTTTGTTGCAAATAATAGTTAGCACCTTTTTTTTGGTAAATAATGCAAATAACGGTTAACGGAGGTAGTATATATCATACTTTATTACTCTTATTTTCATCAAAAGGAGAACAAAACAGCTTCAACACTTCAGTTTCTCAGAGATATTCAAGGTACCTTCATAACCTTCCATTGTAGCTATATTATATCAATATATTAGATTATAAAGTTTTAGAAAAAGCAACAATTGTGATTTTAATTCTATATATACATGTAATTATAGCTTATATATTGCTAAGCTCATAATACTTATTCAAACTCATAATCCTCAATTGCTAACCTCTTGTATTTAATAAAACAATCATATACAATACAGAAACTTCTCAGCAGTAATTTTACTGATTTAATGCTTATATAAATGTATGAATCATGTTCTATATCTCATTTGTTCTACCACTGATGGTCAATTCTCTGTTAACGATATTAGTTTCATATAAATATGAATTTGTTTCTTGATTGCTTGTGCAGAAACATGGATAAAAAGTACACACATCTTAGTGAATTAAACAGCAATAGCAAAAATTATAGTGTTAAAATCAGAATATTAGAAAAAGCAAGACCAAAGACATCTTCTAAGAAAGGGACTTTGTACCAAACTCTGCTACTAATTGATGAAAAGGTAACTCCAGACTCTCAAATTGTTATTATTAGCATAAGTCAATTAAATTAGCATTTGTTCAAATACAAATACTCAAATATACTTGGCTCTTTCTATTTTAGGGTGATAAAATGAGAGCAGCTTTATTTGGTGATCAAATAGCAAGCTATGATGAAGCATTAGTATATAATGGTGAATCTCCTATTAAACTGATATAGTTGTACCTGGTCCTATGTTCCAATCTTTAAGCACAATACCTCGTGTAATAGCAGTGGATTCTAAATATGGTATGCAACCCTGTATCTTCTTTTGCACATAGTTGATTTTAAAAAACAGATTTGTATCTCACATTATACACTAACGTACTCTTATTTAAATTGTAGATGTTTTAGGTATTGTTCTTTATGTAGAAGAGAAATTACGAGTCATCAATACCAATGAAGGTCGACAGTTTTTTGTTAGAGAAATCGTTGTAACAGATCAATCGTAAGTTTATAAATTTTTCCTATCTTTATACATTTTCATAGATAAGCTTTGAGTATAAACTAACTTTCATACTGGAACTTTTATTTATAGAATGGACCAGCCTCTTGTTATAACTGCTTGGAATGATTTAGCTGGAACTGCTTGTAATAGACTACAAAATTCTACAAAATTGATTGGTTGTTTGATTTCGATTTTGAGTCCTTTGTTTTCAATTGCATTATGGGGTGAAGTATGTTTATTTGGTTGTTTGTTGTTTTTGATTGTCTTACTTGAGGACAAGCAAGAGGTTAGCATGGGGGAATATGATGTATGAGTTTCATACCATGTTTTATCCCGGTTTTACAATGTATATTTGCATGGTTTTGGGCTCTTTGGAGCCATTTCTTGCTAACAATCTCTTCTCTAGTGTGTTCGATCTATTTTTGTGAGTTTCAAAGGAATACTGAGCTTCGTGGATGAATCGGACGTGTTTTGGATAGTTATAGAAGAGGTTAGTGTGCGAAGATGAAGATTTCCCCCATGCCCTGTTGACCATAGCTTGCCCAGTCAGACAGGGCAAAGAAGGGTAAGCTAGATATGGAGTATATGCTGCAGACTCCACGTGCCCGGTTGGGCATAGCTCACCCGGTGGGACCGGGCACTGAAGAGTTAGAAGATAGCTTTGATAATAGAGAAGGCAGCAGTCAGCTTTGATTTGTCTCGCGCGCCCGATCGGGCATGGTCTGTTCGGTGGGACCGGGCACGAGGTGGAAGAAGATTAACGAAGAAGAATTGGGCCGTACTCTAGCCGCCCGATCGGGCAACCATCACCCGGTTGGACCAGGCACTGCTTTGCGGAACCCGATTTGCTTATTTTCGGAATTCTATCTTTTTGGGGGTATAAATACCCTTTGTAATCACAATTAGAGAACACATTACTATATCCTCTAGTTTTAGTTTTCTCTAAGAACCCTAGTTTTACTTTCTTTAAGCATTTTAATTCCTCTCTTAGTTTGATTATTATTCATCAACAATTTGAATTCTTTCAATTGAAGCAATTTTGGTATTCATCTATCTCACTTCTCTTTCATTTATTATTGCTTATTGATTATGTTTTCTCTATTAAATCTTGTTATTGGTTTTGCTATTATGTGTGAGTAGATACATAATCCGGGATCTTGCAAAGCTCGGATATGATTAATGCTTAAATTTAATCTTTAAATTCTTTAATAATATTTCCAATTGACATGCTTGATTGATTGTGTTTATGCCAATACTAGATTAGGAATAATTGGTATTGTTATCATCCCTTTGTTCTTATTGCAACGGAAGTTGAATATTAACGGGATTTGGGTATTTCAATTAAGGGTTTGAAGGTCATCACGAAGTAGATGATTGAATGATTAGGAAGTTAAGTATTGAGTTTAATGTCCCTTATTTGCTTGATTCCATGGAAATAGGCTTGACAATTGATTTGGGAAGCCATTGATAACTCGGGAGAGACATTTGGTATTGATTAGGGAATGCTTTTCCTCTTGTCGATTGAATTGTTATTGGGGGTAGAATTATTTATGCATTGATTATATTCGTGGTAATGCTTGATCTTGGATGCTTTAACATTGATTATCTCATTCTTAGTTAATTGTGTTCTTTAGTATTTCAGTTATTAGTGTTCTTCATTCTTGATTTGGTTACTTGCTTAATGATTTCTCGAGTCTATTTAATTAGGTAGACCTTAGTCTCTTGGGATTCGACCTTTACTTGCCCGACTACATAGTTAGGAGGAATTGTTAGATTATTTTTGTTAGGTACGCGATACGTCTATCAGTCACAAACCCAAAAGAAGATAGAGCCAATGTTTTGCAAGAATGGTATGCACCCTACATACATACAATTATTGAAGGAATTTACGTA